TGGCACAAATATTAAGGGGGGACGCGGCTTCCTTATCAAGAAATAGCAAAAAAAAAAAAATGATTTTTTGAAGGTCAAGTTTTCAGTTTCTGGAACCCTTTTTCTATTTGATTCCAAAATATCTACCCTGAAAATCATGAGAAGTGCGTCAGAAAATTCGTTTTACCCTCCTAAGTAGCGAAAATGTTTCTGGAAATCTCGAAAAAAAGAGCGATTTTCAAAAAAATTATAGCTTCGCGATGGCGCGGCTAGGAGCCAGCTTCTTGGGCTCATCGAAGAGAGTATTTCTCGCTTCAGCTGGCTGGCTCCTCCCTTTGAAAACAAACACACAAAAAGCTAGTGTTTGAAGGTTGTTTCGAGGCCCTTGATTGGCTGTGGCCGCCATGTTACCCCAGCTTACCTCGCCATTGTTAACGATTTCCTCTATAGAGGAGGTCGTATCATTGGCCCAATGTAAACGCTGATGCTTGCTCTGGGAGATCGTCGTCTGCTGTATATGTGTCGCGAGGACATGGCTAGGATATAATTTCGCTTTAGTTAGGAACCGTAAGTAGATGCTCGATCAGACTACTATGTGCGGGCACGTGGTCCACGAGCGTGGCACATCGGAGTTGTCTAGGCCCAACTGTGCTGACGGCTAGACAAACTTTGCAGGCAAAAACGACGTACAGTCGAACCTCGATATATCGAACGGCGCGGCGATCGCGAAATAGTTCGATATATCCAGAATTTGATATAAAAAAATCACGAAAAAAATGCGTCAACAGCTTGCTGAAAACAACCAACGAACCGTTCAAGCGTGGTGCAGTAAATACTCACTTGAAGATTCAAACATAGTATTTATTGTGTTGGTTTAAAATATTGAAAAAGAGTAGCCTGCTTTTTGTTGGCCATGGCGTGTTTGACGACTGCGTCTTCAATATAGTCCAGGCGATCCATAAGTGATAGGCCAGTGCCTTCAATCGCGCCGCAGTGGCAGCGCACAAGGGCCAAGGCAGCTATGACCTCAGCTGATGTTGGGAGCAGGGCACCATCAGCGCTTGCGGGATCCACCTCGGCAGAGTCTTCATTTGGCTCCTCAACAGTAGCTTCGGCGACAATCTCCACATCCGTGAGCTCCGCCGTTCAGAGTTGGGCCTGTCACGCACCACAGCGCGCGACAGGCCTAACTCCGAAGAGTGCGCGACAGGCCTAACTCCGAACGCACGAATACTGAGAGCTCAACGACCGATGCCTGCCGATGCTACAGGGGAGGAGCTTGCAACAAGTGCGCAGTGTGCCGTTGACACCATATAGACTGCAACGACTGCAAGTTGCAAGGCTGCGGCGTGAGTCCAGGTGTAAAGCGCGCACATGGCGCGCCCATGCCGGCTCGCCTGACTGCTTTTCTTTTCCCGGCGGCAGCGCGGGCCGCATCCGAGACAGTCGTCTGCGTCCTTTCTCTCCTATACTTTCCTCCTCAATCTTTACCTCCCACTCCGCCTCCCCCCGTGCGAAGCCGTGTCGGTGCCTTCGTATTAGAAGAAAATAACAGCTCCACGCTTTTCTCTTCACTTTCCTCATTCAAGAACCTCTACCGCAAGGCTGCGGCGCGCGTACGTCGCTACGTTAAAGTGGCACTCTCTGCGCCATCGATGTGTGCAGCATTCATAAACGCCCGCCGCTCTACCGCTACTTTCGAGAGTTGCGGGAAAGCTCGCCGCCTGTCAATGGAGCGCGGGCGGTTTAAGGTGGCTGAGTTCGATATATCCATTATATGTCAAACTTTGTTCGAAATAAAAAATCAATAATGCATGCGATTTTCCGCGTGATATAGGAACCTTTCAATATAGGCAATAATTTGTTATATCCGTGTTCGATATATTGAGGTTTGACTGTACTAGCGCAATCGTGGAAACGTGCTTCTTTGCAGGCAACGAAGCACTTCACTCGCTAGCTTCACGGAATCGTGGACAAACATTTTACGCATTGGCAGTGGACCCCACAGTCAAGCTCGTCACCCCCCCCCCCCCCCTTCATCCACTGCCAAAATTGCACGGAACAGCGGCCAGTACTTTTGCGCGTCCGCACTTGGAAATTCGATACCAAGTGCAGTGCGCACCGATTTTTTTGTCATCGTAGCCACACATTTCGCGCATCATCACTGAATGCCGCCGCCAAGTGCATCACGCACCGGCTGCACTGTCTACGCGGTCATGCACTTCACTGTCATAGAGTGCTGTCAATACGCTTTTGTGATGCGATTTAGGTGGGCTTGGGGCCGTACTTGGTATCGCCGCGAGCATCTATGAATGTTCTGAGACAATGAAAGCCTCGTAAATTAGCGTTTCTGCGATCCCTAAAAACTGAAGCTCTTCGGGCGACTGCCGTGCTCACACCACGTACTGGATCGAGACTCGAGCGCATCTGCAGTGCCAGTCCTTGCTTGGTGAATGAAAAAACACGACTCTCTGCAGCTCTTGACAAGATGTCAGGCAAGAAAACAACCAACTAGTCAACAGCTCTTCTGCAATTGAAAAAAAGATGAAACAGTGTTGCTAGTCTTCAATATAAATTTCATAGTTATTTATTTGTTCTTCAATGATAACAGCTCTCCTACATTATTTTGGTGGCCAGAATGCAGAATCAATTTGTAGCTGGTTGAATCTGGTATTAAAAAATGCTATGGAAGGTTTAAAATTAGTTTATGGTAATATTCAGTGATGTTGTGCAAACATCTCCAAAGATCCATTATTGCACAGAACTTCTTAATTCAAAAGCGTTCCTCGTTAGTTCACTCGTTTGCTTCGCACGGTCAGTGTCCCATTTGACAGTGAGCCTTAAAAAGGGCCAGTCAACAGGCTCTGACTTTTTTTTTACACCCCCCAAACAAGCTCGGTAATTCATAGAGTAGATTGCAGCAATCACGTTTTTTTTTTAATATTACAGAGCTGCGTGCCGCGCAGAGCCTCTATTTCAAAAAACAATTCCCCCGCTCCTTTCCTACGTCTGACTAATGCTCTTTGCACGTGTAGTGACAACAATTCGGCGAGGTGACGCAGCACGCAGCTTGTCGATTGGTCTAAAGCAGGTCTCAACAAACAGTAGTGAAGTCAATGACAGTTCCTGTTCCCACCCACTGCTACGACAGAGCTATTCAATCATCCATGCATCGAAATCAAGACACTTCACTGACCGAGTTTTTAGGAGTGAGCAGATTGTCGCGCTAAATGTTGATCAGCACACCCACTATTAAGCGCATTATTTGTGTTTTGTGTTGTTACTCTCACATGGCGCGACACTCTGCTCCCAAAAAATCGGACTCCAGAAAAAACGGGCCAACTTGAAGTTCAGATTTTGGAACACACTTTTGCTGCAAATCGAGTGACTGGGCTGCGCAAAAGCATCGGCAGCGGGCAAACGGTAAACAATCAGGCATCACAGCAAGCGGAGGTGCGTTGTGGCTGATCGAGTTCAACGATGACGTGAATCGCTAACGCCTTGTCCCATTGCCAACGTGGGCGGAGTCACGATGGGCCACGCCTTCCCCTCCCTTGAAGGAGAAGGGTGGCGAGGCCGCACAAAACTTTGAAAACAGCTTAACGCGGTGTTCTAGCTTCTGTAACTTCCTTAATATAGCACGTATTTGCAAAATGTTTGTAGTAGCATGCTCACGAAGTAAGTCTTTATATTTCTCTTTACAAAAATTTTTTGAGATTGGGATTGTTTACTGGCCCTTTAAGCTGCTCCAAATGCATTTTTGGTTGCTCCAGAAGTTGTTTTTGCCGCTCCAAAATGCATTTTTGACTGCCCCAAAATAATCTTTGCCTGCTCCAAAATGCCCTTTTTTGCTGCTCCCAAAATCTGCTCCAAAAATCTGCTCCAAAACAGCTCAAATCAATCACATCATTGCGATTTCTTTAAAAGGTCTCATCAGCAGTAAATGGCCAATAAACTTGTGGATTTTACTCCTCAGTTTTCTGTTCACTATGTGCAGTTAGAACTTAAGAACACTTCAAAAAGTTTTAAATGTGATAAAATCAGTGCCTAATCATAATGTGTGGTGTCACCCCACCCAGAGTCATATATCTGAGAACTTCTGATAATTCAAACTTCTTAATAATTCAAACAAAATTCTGAGGTCCCTTCGAGTTTAAATTAACAAGAGTCGACTGTACGTGAACATACACGGACTGTGCGTACTGCACCGCACTGAGCTTCTGACATGGCGGCTATGCACACGACCGCAGACAGATGGCAGCAGCTTTGCATGTCGTCTCTAAAAAACCGTGCATTTAAAGAAAGAAAACAGAAAGAGGGAAGAGGTCTCATGCTCCTGAGGTGTACGTGGCCTACCTTCTTCCTTGATGCCATTCCTCCCTGCTTAGTTTCCAGTGCTTTCATCAGGACGAGAGATGAGAGAAAGGAATCGCAGTGAGTGGCAAATCTTTGTAACTCAGCTTGTACCAGATCAATTCCGAAATTTTTTGCGGCAGTCCGTTCATGAGGCAACAAGCTTCTTTAGTGAATACATTCCATCGCTACCTGGAAAAGTGTTGCAGGGCCCCTTTAATAAGCTTTTCACACATAGCACATTTTGATGTTGGCACACAATCATCGAGATTTGGAGGCACTGGGATCAGATCGCCAGTAAAATCTCACTTCACTATGGGAAGCATGGCCACATCTTCGATGATGATGAACCCATGATGCAACAGCTCTGGGCAACAGGCACAGATCTCCAAAGCCGTACTTTTGCTAACTGTATGCCTAATTCAATTTCTAAAAGATGTTGTTGGTGTGATGTTTGAATAGGAAATACAGATCTTGAAAGCTATGCTTTGCTTGCAGAAACTGGAAACATGTCAGAGGGGTTGTCTGATAAATTTGGGGTGCCATCATTTTGTGGGAAAGAAATGCAAAATCCTGACTACGCAATTCTCTGGCACAGTCGTAGTGCAAGTGTGACCAATATGTCATGAAGTATGGTATGATAATTACCTTGTGCTGTGTTTTTGCAGTCCAATGAAGGTCTAAAGCCAGCAGTTGAAGCCTTGCAAGACAAAGTGAAAGATTTGACTCCACCAGCACCTGAACCAGAATCAACTGATTCTCCTCTTCTAAGTGTACCTGTGCCAACCCCTATTTGACAAAGGCTACACCAGAAATTCAATGCATTCTTTGGTGAGTAAGCAGAATTTGTCACATTACTGTCTACCTCACGTAACAGACACAAGCAGTTATAAGGACTGTCTACCACTCTGAAAAATATTATGAATTGTGGGGCAAATAAGAAGATTGTTCATCGCATCGGCAGCAATGATCATGCTTTTGTCCCATGAAAAAGGCATTATAATTTTATTTCGATGTTGAAAGATTGTTAAAGAATGACCGCTGGGCGTCACCCAATAGCGATGAGGTTCAATCTACTGGCAGGACAACAAATCCTTGCAAGTGAACTCATATTGCTTAAAAATAAGCATGTATAACTTAAAATTGTATTATACGTACCTGAAAAAGCTTTAGGTTGCACCAACGAGTAATTTTTGCTTTTTTTTTTTTTTTTTTTTTCCCCCACGGGTTCAAAGAAGCGCTTGGTGGGACTGCCGGCAGCGCTTTTGCCTGCTTGAATGCTTGGCAACGGCAGAGAAAAACAGGCTCTGCGTCCGATGCCGCTCATAACACAAAGAAGTGCTTTGGGCATAAAGTGCACATGAGTATTCACCAAAGTTCTGCATTGAAGCAAGTTTTGCCGACACGTCTTGCTTCACCAAGGCGTCAATACTGGCTCTTATATTGCATATTCAATGCAGGACACCTAAACATAACTGAAATCCGTTTTGTAAAAGATGTCTCATGTTTGTTTTAGTAGGACTTCTCACATGAGTGGGATCACTGCAGTTCGCAGGGGTGGAAGTGCTGCATCAATTGCGCCATTCAGCGCCAATCTGATATGCTGCGCATGAAGGGCAATTTTCACGATAATTGTAGATTGGAAGTATAAGCCGCCAAATCTAACCAATTACAAGAACCTCGATACGAATCTTAAGGTCACAAATACTCATAATAGCCAAAATTCGTATCATCGAAACAGGTGCAAAACTAGCTAAATTAACACTGAGTCAGAGGCAAACTGATTTAGGCACTTGAAAAAAATTAATTTTTTGGAGAAAAAAAATCTTTGATGTCTGTCTATTTCTTTTTTTTTTCGTCAAGTCACTCATCAGACTTTTCTGGAATTCGCAAAAATGCATGCGTGTCTCGTCACTGATTTCTTCAGCGGCTATAGTTAGCCTCAGGACGTCGAGCGCGTGCAGAGTTTCAGCCGCTGGTGGTTGTCCTTCGTCGTCGCCCTCGTCTATTTTCTTGCTATCGTCGCTGGAATCTACAATCTCACATGTGGCCTCGTTGAGAATATCTTCCACCGTGCATGCACCACATATGGCAAGGTTGTCATCCGCCGTGCAAAAGTCGTCAGCTGAACACCCAGCATCAAGGCATTCTCAACCCTCAATAGGCTTTTCCGACACTGAAGGGACCTCTAGTACCTCTTCAGGAATCCTGAAGAAGCCGCATTTACCACAGCAGTTCGCAATGATAGTCGGCATTACTCGATCCCAAGCCATCGCGATAAAATGGATGGCGTCCAGGGGGCTTATGCACAGGCCACCTCCGTCTTTTCTGTCAATTTCGGCAAAAAGGCAGCGCACTAGAAGGCTCTTGAAATGTGGCTTGACGTGTTTTATAATCCTAGCATCAAGTGGTTGCAAGTGCGTCGTCGTGTTCGCGGACAAAAAAACCACCTTGACCTTTTTAAGAGTCATTTGCTTTGGGTGGGCGGCGCACTGGTCAACAATAGGAACAATCTTTCTATTCTTGCAGGCCACAGGAGCGACAAAACTTCTTCGAACAGGGCCGCCGTCATCACGCTTTTTTCTTTGCCCAATAGACGCATGCCAGATCGCTCGCACCCTTGAAACACCGAGGCTTTGGAAATTTGCCAACTGTGGTCAGCTTAAGTTTCTCCGACCAGTCGGCGTTACAGCACAAAAGAACCGTTATTCGTTCTTTGCTTCTCTTGCCTCCCTGGCACGCTTCACTTATTAAGGGGGCAGACTGGTCTTAGACATTTTTGTTTATTTGTTCAGTGATCTTGATCAAACTGCACAGGGTTATGCAGTTTTTTTCTGCTGATTTCAAATATTTAATTATATTTCCTATAACTCACCTTGTTCCTGAGATAACTGAAGTTCACCCACTATTGTTTAAGGCCGCCATATAAAAAAAGTGCTTAATTAAAAGTGATATTTATGATATGCCAACATAGACTAATGACTATAGAGTGAAAGTATCAAAGAGTTTTTGTTTTTAAGCCCTTATTGGTTATGTTACAGCAAAATGAACTATTCATTTTCAAAAGCAGTTAGAATTTTGTTACAATTTTGATGAGAAATTAATTAAAAAGGTTTGTGCTCTAAATTCTGCTCCCATACTTGCATTCTACACACATACAGGTTTCCACTGCAAAAAGAATTATTGTTGTACTTGCCCTTGCTGCAGAGACATTGAGGCCTCAAAATTGAATAGTCGTAAATTCACTTTTTTGAGAAAAATGAACAAAACTGAAAACACACAGTTTCTTCGAAAAGCAACAATCATGGTGCGCATGTTTTGCAATCCTCATAAAAGCGCTCATAAATTGGTAGTAGAGCTTTAGACACAGGTGCTGGCAAATTATAAAAAAGCCTCAAAGTCTGTTCCCCATTTTTTTGCAGCTTCTGCATGTTAAACAGCACCAAGAATCTGGACAGCTGGAATGACATTACCAAAAAATACTACTTCCTGGTGTGGGAAAATTTGCAGAGTGATAGAAAAATACTTGCAGAAACCTAATATGTCAATTTTAAAAATGTATTTTTTGGTCACTTTTTGGTCCCAAAGACCAGTCTGCCCCCTTAAGCAAAGGCTCTTCTCGGGCTGAAGGTTAAAAAACAGGCCCGCCTCACCTGCGTTCAAAACATCACGAGGCTCATACCCCGAGATCAGCGACCCCAGCTTCGTGAGCCAGTCGCTAACAACGGTCTCGTCAGCCTTCTTAGCTTCCCCACTGACGCTTTTGTAAACGAGACCGTGTCTTGTCTTGAAACAGTGCAGCCACACACCTGAGGCCTGAAATCTGTCGATGTGCAGAGCAAGTGCGATCTCGTGGGCTTTCTCACGCAATACTTTGCTATCAATGTTCACACTGGCGGCAGTAAACTCCTTGAATTAGGTCAAAAGAGCTTCTGCAAGCTTCACGTGTAGGGCGGTCTTTGCTTCGTTGACGCTGAACGAAACCACATTTTTCTTTATTGTGTCCCACTGTCCAACAGTGCTCAATGTCGACGTAGCAAGGCCTAGCTCCTTAGTCAACTCCGTGCGTTTTCTTTTGGGATCCTGATCGACATTTCGAAGAATATCTAGTTTTTATCAAAGGAGAGAGTCTTGCGCTTGCAAGACAAAGCTTGCTGCGACTCCACAAAAAGGCACGACGATCACAACAAAGAATATACGTGTGCTCGACTAGGCAAGACAGTGTCGCCAGCCTCTGTACTACAGTAGCCACTGTCTTCGCACCAGGGAACACCTACCACCAAGCAAAACAGAGATTGGATTAGATTGGATTTGTGTCTCTGCGGTGGCCAGCGCCATCTGTAGCCTTCAAGTGAAAGCTCTGGCCCACTCCGGCGTCTGAGATTGCGCAGATCTTGGAGTCTGTTGCCTGCTGCTCGGAGGCGACTCTGGCAACGCCAGTGGGGTAGGGTTTATTCGTATCAAACGACTCGGGTAAAAATTCAGTTCGTAACAACCATGGTCTATTACATTGTAAATTAATGGGCCTCTTCCGAAACCACAGAAACATTCGTATCAGCTCGAATTTATTATCTGCCAAGATCGTATCATCTAAATTCTACTGTACTATAGATAAACCTGGATCTAACAAAATTGATAAACTCCCAGAAAAATCCGTTATAAAGACGATTTCGTTATACAGTCGAGCCTGCTTATAACGAACCTGAGCGTGACGCGGCATCCGTTCGCTGTATCCCGAAGTTCGTAGTAAATGAAACACAGCTTTTTAAAAACAGTTGCGAGTGAAAACACATACTTTTTTTGCCCCAAAATGTCTATGATGTACGTGTTTCGAAGAGCAGAAAAGATAAGGGCGGCCTCGAGTTCATTTAAGGGGGGACGTGGGTGCTAAAATTTTTTTTTAATTTTTTGCTCGATCTTGACCAAACTTCACTACCTAAGCTAGTTTTTCATGCTGATTTCAAATCTCTAATTTGTTTCTTAATATTTCGAGTAGTTTAGAAAATATGAAGGTCTGAATCTAAATAATTGCATACTTTTTACGGGACTTCTTGAAAATTTATTCTTGTTAAATCCAAAAAGTGAATGCATTATCCCAATGCTGGAGACTTGCTGTAGGGGGTGATGCTATTTTTATCCATTTGAAGGCTTTTTATAAGCAAGAAAACGGACGAACACTTATGGTCACTATATTACAATAAATTTCTCTCACTAAAATCTTCAATGGTGATTTTCGAAGTGATGCTAGAGAAATAGAAATAGCATCACCCCCTAGATCATGTCAAGGCGAATAAAATGATACCAACTTTGCCGCATTCACTCAAGTTTAACATAGGAAGAACCCCCCGTAAGGCCGAGTGCAATGTGCAAAAACATCGAACTGAGAAAAACGCGTTTGAAGTTTTTAGCAACTTTAACTTTTGCTAAAGTGAAGCTACAGCGATATTAATGACATCATTCTGTAGCTCTATATTATAGGATGAATGGCCATGCTAAATTTCACTGTACCCACCCAGAATACTGCTTACAGCTTGTTCTAGAACTATAAAATAGTCTTTGACTCAGCATGAGAATTATTATTTCTTTACTTTGTGGTCGTTCCAGTGCCTTGCAAGTGAAAGGAACACAAAAAAATCATGTAATAATGTTGTCCTTGGATAGGCAATAGATTTACACAACGTTTAGGTCTAAAACCAAGAATATTTATCTTTGCGAAAATTCTCATTGAAAGTCTTTCCTTTATTGAACTGCTGTCGAGATGCTCTCTTCGCGATTTTTGCAGCGTGCCCTTGTCGTTCTCAAGGCTGCGACGCACCAAGCTATTGCCAGCG